TTGCTGTATAACCTTGTGATTCTGTGCCACTGTAATACTGTGAGCTGTAAGCATTTGAGTCTTTATGGATATTATCAGACAACTATCTCGCTGCTTTAAACATTCCGTGTTTTGTTAACTGTTGTGCTGTTGTTTCTGTTGCTCAACTGTTTTTCTTGCAGCTGTTTAGAACACTGTTTTTCAATTCACTTGTATTAGTGATTTCAATAATAAGAGGAAGAAAATCTAGTTTAGAACTATTCAATTTTTTTGTGGTCTGCTATTTTTCTGGCTTGTGCATATTCTCTTTTTGACTGCGCATCTAAATAGAGGATAGAGGTTGACCATTTGAATACTTCACTTTTATCTCGTTGTGATATCTACATGTAAACGACTGAAAATATGGGTTTTCTAAGATGTAAATTCGTTTGATCTCTTCCCGTTTTTAATAAAGCAATTCCATTGAGCTTGTGTAGTGAGTGTTGTGTGACAAGACTATTGTGAACTTTCAACATTGAGATTGTCATTCTGTGTTTTTCCATCCATTTCCTAAGGAAATACCCAACGTATTCCGATGGAGGAGTCTCCTTCAAAACTTTCGTGCAAATTTTACTCTTTCTACTTTTTTCGAAGCTTCAAAAAACATTGAGCAAAGTGTGTCACTTTTTTTGTTGTGTATTTTCATTAGCAAAACCTTACTGTCTTCATCTGAGAATTTGATTACTGAGTTAGTATACCATCAAGAATATGGTCAATATTTTCTACATACTTATCACTTCTTTGCTTTTTACCTCTTAATTAAACGTTGAGTTCGTGTTTCCGTGAATTCATGTGCATATGTGGAGACTCGTTAAGTTTTTAGAATTCTAAACTGGGTTGCTCAGATGCTGAAAACAGATGAATGCACCTTGGGAAAATTTGCACATGAAAGCACCCTGTAAAAGTTTTCCGTGTTCAAGTAGTCATTTTTTATCTTAGACAAGACTTAGGCTAGTCGATGAGAGTCCCGTAACCCACGGTTCAAGTCTGTAGAGAAACTTTTGCTTGACTCGCAAACAGAATGGGTTCCATAAATAGCCTAGGAGTACACAATCACGCAGCTGCTTATTATTAAGCGACCATCCTCCCTTACGTCCACCAACGGTGATCGAATTTGTTTTAC